GGGAGCCAGCCCAGGAGCACATTTCTTTAGGACGACGGCAGGGATCCCATTACATCCGCTTACCTTGTAGGAATCTAATTTAGAAATGTCAAAAACCAGTGACGTGATTATGCGTATATCACTGAGTAGAGCCTCCGTTCTTGGCGGAAATCAGGCAGAAGTACTCCAGATGAATGGAGAGTGGATTTGGAAGAGAAATTCCGAGCAAAGTAGTAGATGTCAATATATCAAATTGATTGAAGAGAGAAAGGACTGATCATTTTCTATTGTTCTATTGTTCAGCACATTCCTGCAGAGCTGCCAGAAATCTCTAGAACCAAAATTGTGAGAAACTCTACTGTGTCTCATTCTATCAGCAAATAGTGACTTTGCATCTTTGAGAATAGGCTTGCACTTATTGCGAGCAATGACAATCAGAAGTGATCCCTGTGAGCCATAACGGCTAAGTAGGCAGGTGAGAAACAAGATGATCGTGGTTTCCGTGCTGGAACAAAAGCTTTGATTCCGGCTTTCACCCAAGAAAAGAAGTCAGAGGTACATTTATGAACAGGATGATTAAAAAATATAATTCCAAGGGACATGGCGAAGGAAGTCTCGAAACGAGTCCTAACCAGCGCGTTAACATCCTATTAACAAAAAAAATATTCTGTTAATAGGAGATTCGTAACTGATGGAAGAGCAGAAAAATATATCTACAGACACCACAACATGATCGGAGTTGCCAAAAGAACAGAGCTGAAGAGAACGACATGAGTTCGGGGTGGAGGCAAGGAAGAGATCAAGTAGAGAAGCCTCTAAACACAAACATATGTATGTATGTATGTATGTATGTATGTATCCAGTGGTTAGAATGTCCGCGTTCCGACCATCAAACTCGTGTTTGAATCTCAAAATGGTCGATTATCAAGAAGGCGACTTTGATAATATCAGCCTGGGGAGACGATTCCAGAGTGTGGAACCATTAACAAGTGGATTAAAATCCAATCAAGATTTGAACCAAGCCTTGTGGGTAACATTGGATAGAAGAAAAGTTCTCTCACTGTAACAGATGAATTTTTTTATAAATGTGTCGTCTAGTGATTCAACACTTTTTTCTTTTATTTTCTATTCTTGAAAGTGCGTTCAGTGCAATGGTTTTCATCGCGGAAAATGGAATCGGCGAGCCGAGTTAAAATGCCGGGCTAGTCCGTTGCGTTCACTTTCGCACGCATCTCTTCTCTCCGCTCCCAGATATAAGTTAAAAAGCAGAGTAACACTGTATCCTTTAGCCTTCAGTGGCAGCCAGTATAGGAAAAGGACTACTCTGATTTCCACACCCTAAAAACGGCAAATGGAAACCACTTCATTATTTTTCCCAAGAAGTCATAGCTATTCATAAATGTTAAACGATAAAGGAATCTGTCGTGAATCATGATAGCCCAAGTTCTAAAAAGACATAGAATAACTCATCTTTCAAATGAAAATTTCCTCTTTTGAAATTTGCAAACAACTTCTTACGTATTTTTTGCTTTCAATGAATCTTGGCTAAGTGTTTTTCTAAATGATTGTCGCTGATACGCTTTCATTCAAGTCTCTTGAAAGTGAAAACAGTGCGATATTACGAGCAAAATATATCTTGTTTGTTAACATGAGTTGTCTGCAAATATAAATTATAAGTTATAGGTTGTTCGACAAATAATGTAAAATTTTATAAATTTATTAAAACAGTGTTTAAGTCAGTCAAAATAGAAACCCTGAAAATCTACTATTATATAGGAATAAAGTGTTGCTGCCGACACTTGAGTTTGAGTATAGATCGCCAGTGAGCAAACACAGGCGATCCCATTATTGAATTAAGTAGACCACGTGACCATAGAGGAAGCACGTAAGTAGGAATGTCGCGTGACGTTTAATTGATCGTTATTTCTATTCTATCCTCTATTACTATTCGGATTTCCATTTCTACTATATCCTCTATTACTATACGAACCGCTATTCTCCACTCTATACACTATACTATCTCTACTATTCGGAACACCATATGGATTACTATTCGAGTGAGGATTATTGAGCAAGTACTATTAGTGCGAGTGTTATTCGAAGGCGTCTGACACCAGTATTGTTCAACGGCGTTACTATACTTGTATCTGCGAGTACAAAGTCTCTACTGCAACGAGCATTACAAAAGTGGCAACGAGTGTTCGTTGATATAACAAAATCTATACATTTATACCATCGAGTTACAAGTTTATTTATGCATTTATGATAAAATTATAAAGTTTTAGGCGCAAAGAAATCTTTCAATGAAGTTTCTATATCTTATTTGCAACGGAATGTCTTTTGGTTTAAAAAATTGTTGATTTAAAAAGTGGTTGTCAGTGGCCGATAGATCAGGAAAATATGAAGAATATGGCAAAGTCGGTGAGCATCTGTTGTGTCATCCTGGCAACATGTGGCCAAGCATTGTCATGAAGGAGAATTGAATTTTGTCGATTAACGAGAGTTGGTCTCATTTTGATTAACTGAATGAGCATTTCATCCAATTGCTGGCAGAGGTAATGCTCTAATTAGATTATACAAAGATGTAATGAATGACACCAATGGCGGACCACCAGACAGTCACCCTAATTTTCTGTTAGTGCAATCTCAGTTTTGGAAAGTGTTTAGGTGCTTCGTTATGATCAAGCCTTTGAGCAGATCATTAATGATTGTCATAAAGGATCCAATCCTCATCACAAGTCACTATTCGATCAAGAAATGGATCATTCGAATTTCGCAGATGCAAACGTCAAAACATCGGACTCTTTGACTTTGACTGAGTTCATGTGGAACCCGCTTATCGAGTTTCTTCTACTTACCAATATTCTTGAGATGGTTCGATTTTGCTGAAACGAGACAATTTTATGACACTTTGACGTGGGTCTTGTTCGGCTAATGTTTTCAAATGTTGATTGTCAAGCGCAGATGGATGTCCTTTACTACTTTGATCTTCAAGACTTGAATCCCCACTGCGGAACCTCATAAACCAGCGTCGTACTGTCTGATCACAAGTAGTCCTTAATTGGTAGCAATTTGAGGAGTATTATGACCATGCTTGAACTCATGAAAAAAATAAATAAATGCATTACTTCTTTCTTTTTTTTCTTTTTTTCGTGTTAAAGATCAGGGATATATAATATTTTAAGTTAAATTCTGAAATAGATTGATATGAACAAAGAGGATACTTTAATCATTAGGAATGAGTAATATATTTTTGTGAAAGTATTATAATAGTATAGAGAATACAATTAAAAGTCTCTTCTAAAATCGGATAATAATTTCCGAACAAACTAATATAACGCTATTTCTGGTTACAACGAAGAGATGCAATTAAATGAAGTAGTATCATTAACTTGTTAATGGATTTTTAATTTTTTGTTTGAAAATAAAAAAAATATTGAAAATAAACATAAATTCCATTACAGTTTTAAATAAGGTTTTGTAATAATTATTTCACTTGCTTTTAATTAGGTAGCGAACAAACCTCCATAACTTTTCTAATGTTTACCTATACTCACTAAGTAGAACATCGAAAATATATCAAATATTTTAAATATCAAAGAGACGTTTTAACAGTCCAGGAGTAAGTTTAGTTTCAGACTCAACAGTTCATTTAATTACACCTCAAATATTTTATTCCTTGTATTTTTGTAATGTCTGTGATATCCAAGGGATATCAGTAAGATTCACGAAGAATTCTGATGGATGTTTTTTATATATAATTTTCATAAAACCACTGGATTGTGAATGTTGGCACAATTTTCTTTTCGAAATATCACTGCCTGCTGCCTTCCGAGAAAAATGCTATCATCAATTTCTGGCTTAACTAGCTAATGTAGAAATGAATAAGACCCAAGGGTTCAGTCATTAGGTGCTGTTAATATGCAAGCAATATTCGTCCGACTTTTCCATCTTGATGAAAATTTCAAACGAAAAACCTCCACAGAATTAAGTCTTTGATCTGAGTTAGCAAACGAAACACAAACTCCTGATCAGAGAAGTGTAAGACAAAAAAAAAGAAAAGAGAATTAAAACAAGCAAAAATATGAGAAATAAAAATTAAAAAATATTAAAATAAAAAATGGAACTTAAAATTAAGAGAAAACAAATAAACACTTTCTCTTTTTCATATTTTTTCGTAAAGTGATCATAAAAATTTTTCTTTCGTCCACCCATCCCTTTCACTTCCAGCACTAATACCATGACTGCATCACTATCATAATTTCTCTCCTTCGCCATCATCATAATAAAACAGCCATTACTAAAGAATGATAAAGTGAAATGGAGGTTGTTATGATGTGGTTGATGAATTTCTCTAAAGTCCTGGTCAAAATAGTTTCCTGTTTCAATACCTTTCATCTTTTGTAGCCCATTCGTTGAGCATAACACAAAAAGCAAGATTGTCGACATCATCGCTCAGTTTACCACAAAAAGTTTCCGCCACTGCTTCTGTTAAACTCCAGTGTATAAATTCACCGAATCGAGTTCCCTATTCCCATTACAACTTCACATCCGGTCCAACTATCTCGGCAAGTATTTTGACTGTTGATTAATTAATAATTTTCTTCGCTGTTACCAGGGAATTAATAATTGAAAAAAAACAAAAAACACAGGAACGTATGTGTGTGTGTTTGTGTGTGTGTGGTTGCGTGCACGCGTGCTTGCATGTCTGTGTGCGTATGTCAAAGTGTGAGAGGGAGAGAGAGAAACGGAGAAGAAAAAAGAAACAGAAAATAAAGAAAATGGAAAAGTAAGATGAAAAATGAACTTTTTAAAAAAAGACAGAAACAACAGGAGAGAAAGATGGAAAAGAAGACGAAAACCAAAAAAAATCTTCAAAATAAAAAAAGCGGAAACAATAAAGAAAAGTATGAATTTCTAACGAGAATGAACAAAATTTATTTATTCAATAAAGTGTATTTTTAAAATTAAGAAAGAAAGAAAACTTTTAAGACGGAGAAAGAAAGCAAAAAACACAAATTTTAAAAGAAAGAAAGAAAGAAAGAAAGAAAGAAAGAACGAACGAAAGAAAGAAAGAAAGAAAGAAAGAAAGAAAGAAAGAAAGAAAGAAAGAAAGAAAGAAAGAAAGAAAGAATGTCTAAATGAATAAATGTAAGGTTTTAATAGAAAAAAAGAATGGAAAAAATTTCAAAATTGGTAATATGACAAAAAGAAAAGTCGGAGACATGTTCTCTGGGGCGAAGCGAATGAGCCAAATAAAGAAATAATTTCTAACCAATATCATCTTGTTGGTTGGTCCAACCAATGCTCCTGTCAGACAATAGATGCTTGTAGTACTTCATATGAGCGGATATTACTGTTTTTGGCCCTATGCAGGTTTCAAAGGAAATATTTCGCATCAGTAACAAAGAATTAAGTGATATAATGGACTTTTTTTTCGAAAGGGAAAGAGAAATGTGCGAAAAGAGTGAGAAGAGAGAGTGGGTCGGGTAGGAAAGACGAAAAGAAAAAGATTCGGGTAACTGTTTAGAAATTAATTTATTAAAAATCTGGTAATAAAAGGTGAGAAAATGATTAAAGTTAAGAGAATAGAATTAATAAGAAAGCCTTTAAAAAGGTAGAAAATGTGTCAGAGTGAAAAACATGAAAGAAAGAAAGTTTTGAAAAAGATAAAAAAAGAGAAAGAAAATTAAAGAATGAATGTAGAGTCGGTTTAAAATCAAAATCTAATAATAAAAAAGAAAAAGGATAGCAAATAAAAATGAAGAAAAGATGGAAGATGGCACATGAAAAATACAGAAAACAGAAAAAAGAAGGAACAGAAAATATTAATAAAGTAGAAAAACTGTGAAAAATGTGTGGGATAGATAGATAGATAGATAGATAGATAGATAGATAGATAGATAGATAGATAGATAGATAAGCTTTAACTGAGAGCGTTAAGCTAGTAGAAAAGAAAAAGAAAGAAAGAAAGAAAGAAAGAAAGAAAGAAAGAATTGTGAGGAGAATCAAATGAAAAGAAAACATTAAAGTTATAATGGTAAAAAAAAGTATCAAAACTTTAAAGAGAAAGAAAAATGGCAGGACTGATCGCTAAAACAAAAACACCCGAGAAACTATTCATTGACTGTTGTATGGTATTTCACTACCCACGTGATATTTTGAGAAATGAACTATCATTTTCATTTTTCTTGAAAGAGTGATGAAAAGAAGCAATGATGGTCTAATGAAGTTCAAATGAAACATAAAATTAAATGGACAACGTTACGAAAAAGTGTAAAAGAATATATATATATATATATATATATATATATATATATATATATATACAGTGTAACCCGGATATAAGAGACCCGGATATAAGAGAAACACGGATACAAGAGAGATTTTTTCTGGTCCCAAATTAGAGCCTGTGTTAATGTATATAAAATAGACCAAACCCGGATATAAGAGAAACCCGGATATAAGAGATTTCTTCTCCGGTCCCGACAACTCTCTTATATCCGGGTTACACTGATATATATATATATTAAAAAGAAGAGAGAAACCGCAAACGCTTTTGGTTGTAATGTGGATTTTATTAAAAAAAATATTATGCTTTATTTTCCATAATTTTGCTACACGACTTTCCTGTTTCGCGACCACAATCAGGCAAACCGTGAACATTTCTACATATTATTAAAAATAATTTTTCTTATGTTTTTCGATGTTAAATATTCTCGATATGAGACATTCTCTTTTTTATGTGTTAGTGACCCAAATGTCTTTCTTGAACTGGCAGTGAAAAGTTCTGCGTGAAGGCTTATAAAACAATTAAGATTGGTCCGTGAAATGGTGAAGGAGTTATCGGCATTCTTATCTTTTAATGACCCCTGTGTGTTCTTAGATCTATTTCCATTTTCTTGTGTTTTTGTCAGCATGCGTTTATATATGTATATTCCCTCTCCATACACACACACTGTCATATTACGAGGAATTAGTAAACACATTTGTACACATACACATACATACACACATACATGTACACACACAAAAACACGCACACACCGCCCTATTGCAAGGAATCAGTACATACACACACATACATACATGCATACATATATACGTACATATATATACATATACTTTCCAAGTTACATGGAATCAGTATATAGACACACACACACACATGCATACACACATATATACGTAAATGCATACACACATACTTCCTAAGTTTTGTGGGGTTTGCGTGCGTGCATGCGTGCGTGCGTGCCCGTGAGTAGTTCTCTTGCTTTTGTCAATATGTGTATATATATATATATATATATATATATATATATATATTCGTGTTCCACAGACACCCGCATGTGAGCGTGTATGCATGCATGTGAATGGTTTGATCACTGTATTTGGCCATTATGTGCGTATGTTGCGTGTTTTTTCGTGTGGGGTTATGATCTGTTTAGTTCTGGCTTAAATTTGTTTATGAAGTTTTTTCTTGTATTTATAGGTAAGAATAATTGTCTGTTTGATATATTGGCATAATTTTAAATTTACCCTGGTTACATTTAAAGATTTGTTGTGATACAAAAGTTTTCTATTGTCTGGTAATTTTATGTTGCTTTTGTGTAGGAAGACCCTGTTGTTCAGTTGTTGGCTGATACCTATATATGACTTCTTGTATTTTGTGTATTTGAGTACATAAATCACATTTTTAAAGTTGCAGTTTAAGTTTTTATTTATTATGAATGTCGTTTTGTGGTTTTCAAAAGTGTATGAGTTTCCTTCTATAATGATGTCACAAACCCCACATCTTTTTTGTTGCATTTTGTGACTCCCTGTATCCAAATTTAACCAACACCCAATACAGCGGGTATTTGTGGAACACAAATAGGTACTTTCATGAGATAGCTAAAAACAGAGCACAGCATGATGAAAAAGACGCCAAACTTTACGAAAACAAAATTTTATCGTCTAAATGTTTATGTTATTAATAAGAGGAAAGATCAATGTATTTTTTAATTATATTTTTAAATTTTTCCTTCTTTTTAGAACATTCTAAATTTTGATTAAAAAATCTTGTGTCTCTTTGTATCACCGGAACTAGTAAAATGACATATAAAATTTTAGCGCGTTTTTTTCTATATGACAGACATTAATTTTGAAAATCTTCCAAAAATAAAAATAATTGTCGGATTTTAATGAAACTTTCAGAAACTATTCACAAATGATGGAACTTTGTTATTTCAACATTATGTTGTTAATTCTTTTAAAATTAGGGAAAAGTTTGTAAAGTTTAACGAATGTTGTTATTAAGTAGATATATATTTACAGATTATAATTTCCAAAGCTTCTTACAAACTAACGAACACCAGTATATAAAAAAATATAATTTGTGTCAATAATAACACTGTAAATCTACGGAAGACCCGAAGTATCATGCGTGCAATAAAAAAAAACATCACGTGGATTTAGTTTCTGTTTAGTATTTAACTTAAATATTGAATTTTTAATACAATTATTTGTTATTTCTTTAATTATAATAGATTTTTACATTTAAGTTGTTAAATTATTATAAAATTAATTAAAAGCCGCATTCAGTTTCGTAAATGTCCTTTTGAGATAGATTTATTTTTGCGAAACACGTGTGGAGAAGTTAATTTGATTTTTCAATTTCAACTGAGAAGGGTACCTACAAGTATCAGTATCATCTTATGAAATTTAAATTTGTATTTTATGTAGACTTCTGATAAAATTTAATAAGAATGGTACCTATTAATCAGATACCTTTTTTATGAAATATAATCTCACTCTCAAATCTTATTTTAATTTCTTTATAATATATTTTCCATAAAGCATCACAAACGTAAAGGTGAAAGCTAAGTACAAAAAAAAAATTAGAGCACTGAAAATTTTCCTTAAAAATAACGAGGTAAATAATTTGTTCACTTACATATAAATAATTTCACGTCTCTTCTTCCGTAGAAGGAATTATCCTCACGTACGCTATCAACGTCATGAAAATGTCTTTCCTCACCTGTCAAGTGACGCGAAATATGAACTGCTTTGTTTTATTTTCAAACTACATCTTTTCGGCGCAGAAACTAAGTTAAGCTTGTTTCAAAATATTTTGAATAAACATTATAATTTCTGATTTTCTTAATATATGTTTTGAAAAAATTATAATTGATTTTTAAAAGAATTTCAAACTGAGATTTTCATTTTTTTTATAAAATGAAAAAAAATGGTTGCCATAATTGATTATCTGTCAGTTTTCCTGACTAAAAAAAAAAACAAGATATTTAACGAAAATTTTGGACGTGCTAGGAACGATTAAAAATGTAAAAAAAATACCCCTAAAATACTTTGATCTTTCCTCTTAATAGTAACATAAACATTTACACGATAAAGTTTTGTTTTCGTCAAGTTTGGCGTTTTTTTTCGTCAAGCTATTCCCTTCTTAGCTATCTCATGAAGGTACCTATAATACACATATTGGCAAAAGCAAGGGAACTACTCAGGGATACGCACACAAACCCCACATAACTTAGGAAGTATGTGTGTATGCATTTACGTATATATGTGTGTATGCATGTGTGTGTGTCTATATACTGATTCCATGTAACTTGGAAAGTATATGTATATATATGTACGTATGTATGTATGTGTGTGTATGTACTGATTCCTTGCAATAGGACGGTGTGTGTGTGTGTGTGTGTGTGTGTTTGTGTGTGTATATGTATGTGTGCATGTGTGTGTATGTGTACAAATGTGTTTACTAATTCCTCGTAATAAGACAGTGTGTGTGTATGGGGAGGGAATATACATATATAAACGCATGCTGACAAAAACACAAGAAAATGGAAATAGATCTAAGAACACACAGGGGTCATTAAAAGATAAGAATGCCGATAACTCCTTCACCATTTCACGGACCAATCTTAATTGTTTTATAAGCCTTCACGCAGAACTTTTCACTGCCAGTTCAAGAAAGACATTTGGGTCACTAACACACAAAAAAGATAATTCTCATATGGAGAATATTTAAAATCGAAAAAAATAAGAAAAAAATTAATTATTTTTAATAATATGTGGAAATTTCCACGCTTTCCCTGATAACAGTCGCGAGACCAGAAACACATGTAGCAAAATTATGTAAAATAAAGCATAATATTTATATTAATCCATATTACAACCAAAAACGTTTGCAGTTTCTTTCTTCTTTTTAATAGACACACTTTTCGTTGGAACTACTATAATCTCTTCCTTTTGCATATATATATATATATATATATATATATATATATATATATATATATATATATATATATTAGAGTGTGCAGCTTATATATCATAAAGGAACAATATATACAAAGAATTAAATAGCAATGTTAATGTGATTAATGGCGAAATCACTTCTCTAACAGAACTTAATGAGACATTAACCTATAACAAGAAAATTTCTTGGATTTCTAACTTTTCAAAATTCAAAAGAATTCTCACTTGATCGAGTTGAATAAAAACTTTAGCGTCGCGTCATGCCACGCTCCAAAACATATTCAACTGTCAATAAATAGCATAATTTAAAAAGAAAAAAAATATCTTTCGGTCTACATATCATTCGTCTTAGTATGTGCCTATATATAAGAAAACTGTCCCCTGAAGATGATAATTTGAAATTGTCGAAAGTACTTTGTATGTGTCTTCCATTTGACAACAACTCGAATATAAGGATCTTATTATTCAAGGAACTGATAGTAAGTTAATGCCTCATTAAGTTCTATTAGGGAAGTGATTTCGCTATTAATCACATTAAAATTGCTATTTAATTCTTTGTATAAATTGTATATATATATGTGTGTGTGTGTCTGTGTCTCTGTGTGTTTACGAATGTTTATGTGTGTGTGTGTGTTGGTGGTATAGTGGAAATGTTCTCGAGAGAGAGAAGCTTATGCTGACATTTTCCATGTCTCATGGGTTACCGGGAATTGCTTCTTTGCTTTACGACATTTTGGAAAACTGGAGGGAAATGTACTAATGTGTGA